AGCGTGTGTGTGTATATGAGTGTGTGTGTCTGTGTGTGTGTGAGTGTGAGTGTGAGTGCGAGTGTGCGAGTGCGCGTGCGCGTGTGTGAGTGAGTGAGTGTGTGTGTTTGGCTTCGGTGTGTGTGTGGTTGTGAGGAAATCCAGGACCGGGCTGCAGAATCTCCAGATCGTGTACGGAGAAACCTGACGGCAAATCAGAGCATCTGTGAGAGATGAGAAGTGAGTTTTATTTTAATGGAACAATTTAACTTATAATTCGTCAATTAAATGGCTGTTTTTTATGTTCCAGCCTTCCTCTTAACCTGTTATCTGTTTATATTTAGATGAGTCTTGACAAAAAAATTTTTTTTTGGAATTTGAAGATCAGGGTAAATTTAACTTATTTTTTCTTCTGGGAAACATGCGACTATCTTCTGTAGCCTCTGAAGGGCAGTAATAAATGAAAAAAAAAAAGATATTTAGGTAAAATAAGAAAAATGTACACATCTACATGCTGTTCAAAAGTTTTCACTCTTAATGCATGGTTTCTCCTTCTGGAGCATCAGTGAGCGTTTGAAGCTTCTGTAATAGTTGTGTATGAGTCCCTCGGTTGTCCTCAGTGTGAAAAGATGGATCTCAAAATCATACAGTCACTGCTGGAAAGGTTTCAAATACACAAAAATGCTGGAAAACCAAAGAATTTGTGGGAGCTGAAGGATTTTTCTGAAGAACAGCAGGCAGTTTTAACTGTTCAGGATAAACAAAGGACTCATGAACAACTATCACTAAACAAAAACCCAGCTGTGGATCTTTCAGCTAACAACACAATATTAAGAATCAAGGGGATGTAAACTTTTTATAGATTCAACTCACTGATCTATATAGCTCAGTGATTCAACTATTATTTTCTCTTGTGGACTATATGTAAATATCTTTTATGTGAAATATCTTATTCAGGTCAGTACTACATAAACAATAACATGCATTTTGTATGATCCCTCTTATTTTGGTAAAATAATTAACATTTTGCAGATTCTGAAAGGGGGATGTAAACTTTTGACCTCAACTGTATAAATACTTTGGTTACACTTTATTTTAAGGTGTCCTTGTTACAGTGTAATTATACATTTAAGTACTGAGTAATATTAATTAGCTACATGTACTTACTATATGGTTACTGTTAGAATTAGGGTTTGGTTTAGGGTTACTTGCATGTAATTATGTATAACTTACTGTTATTATAATAGTAAGTACATGTAACGTGTAACAAGGACACCTTAAAATAAAGTGTTACCAATACTTTAATATATTTATTAAGTATAATATTATTAAATTATACAAATGTTACAAATATTTAATTATTAATTGTATTAATTTGATTAATTATTCTTTTTTTTGTGCATACAATGTTTGATTGTATACTTCTTTAAAATGTATTTGTTAAAAAACGTTCTTTTACCTCAGCTTAATAAATAAACATCTGTAATTGAACCATTCACAAGTCTATTCCCCTGAAAAGTGTACTATACATTGTTTAAAATATACAAAAGTAATATACTATTGCTAAATAAACACCACAAAGAAAAATATATTTATACAAAGTTAGCAACAGCTAAGAAACAACAATTTTGTTGTCTAACCTTCTGAATTTTGGCAAGAAATTAAAAAGAGCCCAAGTCCAATCCCAGCTCAGGCCTGTGGAAAACATCTTGTGCTATGAAACGCAGGGTTTATGAGACCATTTCTGGCTTTTGGGCAGTAACTCCTAATAACAGTGGTCATTGGTGAGATCAGCATAAAAAGAAAAGTGGAAAAAATAACATAATCTGGAAAAAGATCAAGTTGACATCAATCTGGAAAACCACAACACCTGAACTGAGACAAAACTCCAGTTTAAGCATGATAGCCTTCCAAAAAACACGGAGAGATCTCTGGTTAAGCATTTACAGACGGCCTGTATCCTGTGCGTCTAGTAGACTGCAACCTGACTAAATAACACTTCTGCTGTCATGCGTTTAGTCAGGTTTCAGTCTACTAGACGTACAGGATACAGGTCGTCTGTAAATGCTTAACCAGAGATCTCATTTGTATCCCCTCAAACAAACATGACCAGCATTTTACCGCTCTTTTACCAGTGAGATCTCAGACTCAAAATTACCACAGAACTTCATCGCCATAAAAAACCTCAAGAGAAACCTCAAATGTTCTACATGTGTATTAGACTTGGTAGTCTTAAACTTAAAAATAAATATTTGGAACTGAGACTCAAACTCTTCCCATTATAAATGCACATATTCTGAGCTATGAACATACTGAGGGGTCGGTAAACACCTGTATACCCAAAATTTGTTGAGCGCAATTACGCAAAGACAGCCTCTCTGGACAAACCAAGAAAAATGAAAATAAAAACGGATGGTTTTGCAATATCAATACATAGAGATAATTACTCAAAAAATAAAATTAAATGATCAAGCAACTTCTACTAGACAACTTGCAGGGTTTCTGCAGGATTTTTAAGCTCAAATTTAAAACAAATATAATAAATACCATATGAGTGGGGTTGGGCAATGTCTATAGTAACATATTAAACTGTAAAATGATTGTAAAAACATGATTTACAGTTCAGATACAAGTTTGCACAAAAACAAAAATTATACACTTCACATTTCAGCCTTTAAACCATTTTTAAGAAAATGGATGAGTATAAGTATTAATTATTATATTAATATAAACAATTATGATCAATAAATTATATTAATTAACAAAAATACATTTTACTGTTTAGATTTTATAATGCATTATCTTCTTATCGATCCACCAGTTCACATTTACAGCTCTGCGTGTTTGCAGGGTAAAAACATGGGTTGATTTTCACATTGGTCTGAACAACAACAGCAGACAGGCTTATTGAAAATGCATTCTCTGCCAGCAGGCTTTCGGAGCTGCAGAAACGTAACCGTTTCCCCGGTAAAGGCAGTAAACAAAGCAGCCAGCACCGGACTCTGAAACGTGCAGCGCTCATGTTTATTTGAAGGCATCATAGCCTTTTGAAGTTTAATCGTCACATTACAATTACAACAGACTACAATTTGTAATCTACCCAGCACTGCTGGTAAATATATACAGTCGACTGCATACTGTCACGGTTGCCTTCTGTGGCGAAACGAAGAACGAGGAGATGGCAAACTTAGAAACACGGCTTATAAACACATGAAACGCAATCAGGGAGAACAGAAACAGGTGAGGAGTAATCAAGGATAATTAATACAACACAGCAGAGACAAATAAACATAATCAGGACAGGAACTGGAAGGAAACCAAATAAGGGCATACAGAAACAGGAGGCAGGAACAGAGGGAAAACAAAACAAAAACAGACGTGACACACAAGTTTTCATACCCCTGACAGAAACTGCAAGATGTTTATCATTTAAATGAAAAATTACAGGGATCATCATTTTTTTTGTACTGACGGATTAAGATACATCACATAACATATTTACATATAAATGTACACCCCCTTGGTTGTTGATGTTGTGTTGTGTTGCCTCCCGGATGATCAGTGACTGTCTGTAGGACACTATTTTTAGCCCTTATTTTTGTATGAATTCTTCAACTAATGAAAAGACTGATCATTTTGATTTGTTTTACATTTTTATTCTAATTTTTGATAACTATTCTTTCTAAAATGGTAATAAAAAAATGAGAATGTGTAAACACATTTGACTGGTATTATAAGGCACAGAACCATTTTTAATTTAGCATAAATATTTAGTATTTAATATTCAAGCAGTAGCTGGCCTCACAGGGTGTTTGACTGGTGAAGAAAAGGAAAGAAACTCCTGGTTTAACTGTCCACTTTCCCTCTTCACACCCAGGGCAGAAAACCTCCGAGCTCTGGCCGCTTTCGGCCCTGAACAGCTGCTCCGTCAGGCACCTGAGGACGTGCACATAACTACATTCAATTCCTCTAAAACCCTTTTTCCACCCAACAAATGACGTTTGTTTATAATCACATTAGAAAACATCAATTGTTATTGATTGCATATTTCATTTAATATAATAGTACTTTGAATTCATTCTTGGTTTATAAATAAAAAAAATCTAAAACTTAAGACATTCAAAACTGTATAACTTATTAAAAAATTATATAACAAATTAAATTGTATGTATGTATGTATGTATGTATATTATATATTAGTACTGTCAAACGATTAATCACGATTCAAAATAAAATCATCCAAAATAAAAATTGTTGTTTACATAATATATGTGTGTATACTGTGTATGTTTATTATGTATATATAAATGCACACACATACACTATATATTTAGAAAATATTTACATGTATATATTCATATAATTTCATTTATATATAAATATATTATATAAACATGACATATTTTTCTTAAATATATACATGCATGTGTGTGTATTTATATATACATAATAAACATACACAGTATACACACATATTATGTAAAGAAAAACGTATTTTGGATGCATTTAATCGTGATTAATAATTTGACAGCACTAATATATATATATATATATATATATATATATTAGTGCTATATCTTAAATTGGAGTAAGAACAATAAAATGCTCTGAAAACAATGTTCAGAGCAAGGCAAATATTGGATAAGTAAAAAGCTTTATCACAGCAGATCCCCTTCATTTGAACATGTTCAGCCCTCTAGAAGACAGGTACAGGACATAACATCCGCTTGACCAATGTGAAATCCATGTACAAACATAGATGGGTAAACACATAGATCCGCTCAGCCCATAAGATATGTTTACAGTGTGTGTGTAAGCTACAAAGGATCTCAGACGCAGTTGGGGTTTGGTTTGTGAATGCATGACTAATGCAATGAAGCACTGTCAGATGAAATAATTACCTGACACGTGCCCTCTGAGCAATAACCTCCGCATGACTGTCATTCAGAATGTCACCTGCAAATCAGCACAATATATGGGGATGCACATTTAGGTTTGCATTTGTGCAACAGTGTTTATTTACCCTCCAGACTCACGGCAGACTGGCCGATGCATCCGGTGCCTGTCCCCAAAGACACAACCTGCTTGTGAGCAAATGGTTAAAAGGGCATTTTGCAGTTTTCATATCATCATGTTAGTTAGTTGATTTCTATGTTTCTGAACTCAGTCAGCAGAATCACAGCAGCCAGTAGAGTCCACTCTCTGCCCGCCTCTGGCTTTGCTCTTTTAGGCAGGTTACTGAAGTGATTATAACACAAGCTGGCTAAGTTATTTCATCAGGACTCCACATGATCTGTAGCATTTACGATGAGACCATGTGTTTTTACAACATTACTATTGACGCATTATTAATATACTCACACTTAGATAACCTGGTTAAATGCTCTTTCGGATTACGGATTTAAATGTAAATGCACTGCAGTATAAATGTGCGTTCTCGTGTCTTTGGCAGAAGAATATTACCGATTTCAAAATAAGAGTCCCTACACACACACACACGGCGCATCTTTACAGGTTAAAGCTCATTTGAAACGTATTGTTTCATTTGTAAATACAATTTTAAATGTACATAAAACAGCAAATCGTAATAGCGAATAATTAGGCGGTCATTCAGTGGAAATAGCTTACTTGATTTGGCAATTTTATGTTTTATTTTGTATGTTTACATTCTGTTATAAGTCAGCTCTGTTAGGGCCTTTGTGACGAAAATGTTGTCTTTTTTTAGGATAGCATTTGAATTCTCAGACAAATAACATTTGAATTTGTTTCTCACAACTATTATTGATATATTGAATACACATTTTTAGCTATTACTTTAATTTCAGGTGAGTTTTGCATCAAACACTGTTGTTGTTATTATCATATTGTAAATGATTTGTGAAGTACATAATTTTCTCTTTGAAATGCATAAAGATATGCTCTGCATGTTATTTTTTGACAATATAATTCCATATGGCTATATTTATATTGTCTGTAAACACTTTTAATGTTTAAACGTGCTAATTTTAGCTATTAATCAAGTGAGCATAGACATTTAAAAAGATTTTTACACTTTACATAAATGCCATATCAATTTTAAAATATCCACAGGCTCATTTCTGTAAAATAACCATATTGAAGATAAAGAGCTATATACATAGTTCAACGTCGAGTTTAAAAATTGGCTGCAGTTCATGAATTTCAATGATGCCATCTAGTTGTGTTTACTGAATAAAGAATCATTGTGAACATTCACATTCATATTGATTCACAAATACATGTTCAGATCTCAGATGTAAAGTGGGCCACAGGACATGGCAGTGAAGCTGAGAATGAGCAAAAGATAACCGGCAGTTTTCTCCACAAAAGAAAAATATTATCTGATATATATTTAGAGGTGAACATAACTTGAAAATTGAGCTGCATAATCAATGATCTGAAATCCTGAATTTCATCATAAGCACTTCAAGTAATTACAGTTGAATATTTAACCTGAAATTGAAAATAAGGGCACTTCTGACCAAAAAACAAAACAAAGCAAGTCTTCAAACTGTATATTTGAACTGTGTTCAAACATTTACATGTCTACAATATAGTGGTATAAAGGCCTTGATCAGCCTTCAAATTAACATTGGTATAATGCATGTTTTTTATTTATATTTATTTTAATTTTATTTTTGATCTACTGACCATTTTTCTCTGAGATCAAGAAATCCTATCAAAAGCTGCATTCACACCATGTTGGATTTATTTGATTCCAACTTAAGCATTCACATCCTTCAAACAATAAATATTCCACACACACACACACAAAAGCTAACAGTTCTTTAATGCATAAAATTAAGGCTAAATAAGTCAAGTAAACTTAAATAGATTAATAAGCATAACAACTGTTACTTTTTTGTCTCTTTATTACTCAAATCACACGGATTCATTTCTGCGTTAATAGTGTTGTCATAGAAATGCATAATTCCAAATCTGCACCAAATTTCATATAATTTCCATTATAATTAAAAATAAACTAAAATAAACAATAGTTGCTTGTTCAGATGGTATAATGACAGAAGTATTAGGGACAGCAAAACAAAACAAAACACATAAATACCAAACAAACTGAACACAAGATTTTAAAGCTTTTTTTAATATTTAAAATCATCCACAGACTATGCGTTTACAGTCCATGACTGGATTTTATTTCAACTATATACAGTGTAGCATGGCATGTCACAAAATAATGAAATCACGTCTGCTCATTCTCTTTAAAACAATTATTTTCTCTATCTTCTCAGTGGTCTTCTAGTCCACATACACACACTGATATGACAGCTCTGCGGCCCACGACATCTGCAACTGAAGATTCGCTGCCGTTTATTTTATTAGTATAGTAATATTTCTGTATTGGATGCTGCATTATTAGCAGGGAGTTTGAGAATTTCACCTCACACTGGAAAATCAGGATTGATTACATTTTGATTTAGGGAATTAATTTTGACTTGATTTACAAATCTGGTTATACTGTGAACTGTCTCATAATTTGCATTGCTTTCTCTGCATAGAAATGTACGGTGAAATCATCATCCCCTGAATTTACCAACTCAAATATTACATTCAAACAAATCATCTATCTGCTGCTGGTCCATCAGTGTTTAAAAGTACAGTTAACCCAAAAATTAAGCTGTTGTTCGCTCATCCTCATGTCATTACATACCAGCATGCTATTATTTATTCAGTGGAGGACAAACGTTGAAGTCTGAAGAATCTTTATGCAGCTCTTTTCGAAACTCGTCCTTTGTGTTGCACAGAAAAATAACAGCGCATCGGTTTTGAATAAATGAGTTGAGTTTCCACTTTTAGGTGAACTAGTGTTTGAATTGTAAATCTGCTGCTAGTCTAATCAACAGTCTGTTCATTCAGTCCACATGAATGGCCTATTCAGAAGAAATTAATGTCCCTTCCATGCCAAGATATAATCAGTCTCGTCACTCTTGTCCGAATCCCTCAGTTTCCTCGATAGCGAACAGAAGTTTTTCTCGGAGCTGCTCCTGGTTCTTATAGGGTGGCAGATCCAGTCGATTAAAGCTGAAATTGTAAGGCAGGAGGGACAAATAAGCACAAACACACTTCTGTGAAAGAGTTATTTTGCACTGTCTTTCGGATTTAGAGTCTCACCAGGTGTGACTTCTAGGCAGCCAGGTTTCCTTCCCCACTTTGTCTATGCAGAACTTTTGTGGCCCGTTACTTCCTAAACAACAAGATGATCAAAAGAGGAACTATTAAAACCATTTACACTTCTAAACACTGAATATGTACAGCGAGGACAGAACTCAGGTCACATGTGAAGAGCTCAAAGCTGCATGGTGGGAAGACTCAACACAAATTTAGTGTTACACAAGTTACTGTAAGAAAAAGAAAATGATCAAACAAATTTTTTTTTTTATCATTTACTACAAACCATATTGTATTTAGCTCATATGATATTTAGTTTGTCCTCCTTTCACAGACTCTTGATCAAAATTATTTTTTAAAAGTTTAAGGTTTGGACAGTGTCACCAATAAAATATCATATATATATATATATATGTGTGTGTGTGTGTGTGTGTGTGTGTGTGACGCTCGCCCAACAGGTGGGAAGACTCAACACAAATTTAGTGTTACACAAGTTACTGTAAGAAAAAGAAAATGATCAAACAAAATTTTTTTTTTATCATTTACTACAAACCATATTGTATTTAGCTCATATGATATTTAGTTTGTCCTCCTTTCACAGACTCTTGATCAAAATTATTTTTTAAAAGTTTAAGGTTTGGACAGTGTCACCAATAAAATATCATATATATATATATATATGTGTGTGTGTGTGTGTGTGTGTGTGTGACCCTGGACCACAAAACCAGTCATAAGGGTCAATTTTTCGAAATTGAGATTTATACATCAATGGAAAGCTTATTTATTCAGCTTTCAGGTGATGTGTGGTTTGTTAGGATAGGACAATATTTGTCCGAGATAAAACTATTTGAAAATCTGGAATCTGAGGGTGCAAAAAAATCAAAATATTGAGAAAATCTCCTTTAAAGTTGTCCAAATGAAGTTCTTAGCAATGCATATTACTAATCAAAAATTAAGTTTTGAAACATTTACGGTAGGAAAGTTACAAAATATATTCATGGAACATGATCTTTAATGATTTTTGGCAAAAGAAAAATCAATAATTTTGAAATTCAAAATGTATTTTTGGCTATTGCTACACATATACTCCAGCAACTTAAGACTGGTTTTGTGGTCCAGGGTCACAAATATATATATATAAGCTATTACTTAATTTCAGATGAGTTTTGCATCAAACAGTTGCTGTTAAATGATTGTTAAAATTCTGTATTTTTCATTAAAAAAAAAATATATATATATATGGGGTGGGGGGGGGTAACTGCTTATGTCGCAATGTTGGAAAAACAGAATGACGGAGCTTTCTGCATCTGACGCCGCATATTCTCTCAGAGACGACGAGAGACGAATCTACTTCAACATGTGCTGATAACGGTATATAGCTAACGATTTAAATTAAGTCCCTTAATATTTCTCTTGTGGCCGTACATAAAAATGAGAAGAAACGTATTTCGTGTTAAACAGGTTGTTTTTGAAAGTCGGTGCTTGAAATAGGCTAAAGCTTTTTATTTCATCGATTTTTACTGATGACTGCAGTGTTAATAAATGCCTATAATTCATTGTATAATAGACCTGTTTTAAAATACCTTTTTTTACAACATGGTAATTGAGGAGTTAATAGCCTAATCTTCTGTTATCCTCGCAGCACGTCAGTTATGCAGTAATATTGCGGGGCAAATTAATTGTAATCTTAATTTAATAATAAAAGTAACTTCATAAAAATAATAGGCCTAATAAAAATAAGAATGGAAATCCTCTTAATATATAATAATTAAGAGCCAATAACTGATGTTTTTGACAATATTTATGGCTATCATTGATACAAGATAATCGTCTTTCGACTCGCACCCCGGTTATCGCGGGGCAGACAACACGCTGCCTGTTACATCATTTAGGCTGTCTTGTTGAGCCCAGTGGCACTGAGAACATTATATTTCACACACTTTAATCTCTTTTATTTTCCACACGTAATAGGATTAGTCCATCGAATCATTCGGTTTGTAATGCAAACTGAACTGAAAGCCTCGTACCGAACGATTCAATACGAATACACCCCGACGTACACCCCTATTGTTACACTATATATATAATAAAAAGCCTTTATCTATATAAAATAGATAGCATGCAGTGATTTCATACTGTACTGTTGTGTCTGTAGTACATTATAACTGATATTATAACTCTACCTATCAGTTCTGCAAAGC